GATTCCTTACTAAACATTCTATTATCTCTACGTGAGATCTAGGCGTGAGTGCAAGCTAAATTTAAAATTTGCAAGGCACATATTTATCACTTTCTTGAGCTGATCATAAACCGTATAAGATTATTGAGATCCATATCCTCCCTATTTTTATCATCAAGATCTATTTCTATCTCTACTTCTACCCCGAAAATCCCACGTTACTTTTTATCGAGATCTATATCCTCCCCGTTTTATCCTCGAGATCTGTACCCATCTGTGTTTTTATCTCAGAAATTCTTTTTACCTTTTGTTGAGGAATCCGTTTACTGTTGAAGCTATGCGAGCTGGCCAATAGTGACTTGGGAGGAATTCATGAACAGCAGTTTCAGGAGTTGTGAAGCTTTCTTTTTTCCATGGATTCAGAAATGAACAGTGAAAACGTTATAAATGGAGCTGAAAAGAATGGTGTTGATGTTGAAATAAGAGAAGGATTGGCACAAATGGATGACGAAAGGGAAGAAATCGTGAAGATGTGGAAACATATGGATCAAAAGTTGGAGTCAAAAGCTAAATCGTTGAATCTGACTGCCGTCAATGTTAAGTCCATTTTACATGTAAGTTTTTTTTAGTTCTTCACAATTACTACTACGGATTTGGCATACTGGAAAATAGCACTGTTATCGTATAATAGGTTTGGAACTCGATTCCGCCCTCTTCCGTTGGAATAACTAGTTCCTCTTTTATTCGTTCATTTGCTTTGATGGTAAATTGGTACTGGTATATGCCAGGGAATTAAATCCTCTATCATCAGCTTGCCTGCAAGCAAACACTGAATGAAGGGCAGCCTCGCCAGCGGGTCCAATGCAAGTAGCGCACAGCAAATGCTCAAGTACTGCACCAAGAAACGGTCGTTACTTGTACAAGTGGGCGGGCACTGGTGGAAGTGGGCGGGCACCGTTGAAAGTGGGCGGGCACCGATGGAAGTGGGCGGGCACTGATGGGTTAGTCGACAGGCATCGATGGTAGGCATGCCATTCTCGAGCATTACACAAGCAACACTGGGTGTTTACTTAGGATCGGCTGCCATTGCACAAACTCTGATGGCATGTTATCTGTAATCTGATTTTTTGGTGTAATTGCCAAGTGGAGAGGACATGCTGTTCACGCTGCTGGTAATTGGGAGACATTCCGTATTAGGAAGCGGTATCGGCGAGGAATTAAATAACTGTTCAGGTTCCTTAGAAGCGATATCGGACATACACACTAAGCAAGCGATGAGTATTAACTGTGGTATGCAGTTTAAGATGGAAGAACGTGGCATGGCTCCTTGAGTTTGAGATTAAAATGGGAATAAAAAGTTATTTGTGGCAGATCCCCGCACAGATTAT